CCTTTTTTTTTTCTTTTTTTCTGAGGATACGGTCATCGGCCTTCTAATAGCAAGTTTTCGATGCCGCTGCTGCCCAAGTTGACCTGTGCCCCGTGCATTCTTTGTAAGGCTTACTCTCTCCGTCCGCGAATAAGTGTACTTCTAGCTTTTGTTTTAGATCAAAATTTAAAAATTTTGATCAATTTTATAGGGGAAAGTATTAGCATTTATGACACTAAATTAATATCACTAGATCTATTTTAAAATGTACTTTCATAATATACCAATTTCATGTCATATATTTTATTACTCTTTTATATATAGTTGGTCAAACTTTTAAAACTTTGACTTAAGACAAAAGCTAAAAATACACTTATTCGCGGACGGAGGGAGTATCTACCTACGCCTCCCTTTTTTTAGCAGAATACGCCTCCCTGTTTCGAATCTCAGGCCCGCGAAGCTGCGAGGAACATGTTAGCCACCACACCAACTGTGTGCTAATGACAAGTCAACAGCAGCATCATATTTACTGTAGTGTACAGATTTTTTCAATTATTGCACACATTTTAGGAAACACGAACATTTTCTTTTGGAAAATTTAACATTTCGAAATGGTATTTGAATTATACAAAAAGAATTAGAATTAGAAGCAGTTTTTGAAAGTTTCAGAACATTTTTCATAAACAAGAACAAATTTGTAAACACAATTTTTTGAATTACGAACATTTTTACAAATGTTTCGAACATTTTCTGAAAAAGTGAACAAATTTTGAAATACATAATGTTGTTGAAAGAGTGAACAAATATGTGAACCGAACAATTTTGAAATGTTCAAACAATTTTTGAATACTTGCACATATTTTGTAAAACCAGACAATTTTACAAATTCCAAACCTTTTCCTAAATACGAACAAATTTTAGAAATCCTGAACAATTTTTGATAAAGTGAATAATTTTCAATATGCTGAACATTTTTTTAAACGTGAACAAAAGCCGAAAATTCTGAAAAACTTTTGGAAAAATGAATAATATTCATAATTCCGAAGGTTTTATAAAACACGAAGAAAATTCGAAATTCCTGAACATTTTTGGACAATTATTTTTTCAAAAATTCTGAACATTTTTAAAAACATCAACAAAATTTGAAAGTCCTTAATACCCAATCGACGCATCCGGCCGAAACCCTTACCGCTATATAAAACCGCATCGTTCCTGCTCTCCCGCCGCCGCCTCCCGCTCCAACCAAGCCAATACCCAGCGGCCTCTCTCGAGAAGATCTGGCCGCCGGAACTCCACCGGCCGCCTCCCTTCCCGCGCCTCGCCAAGCTCCTCCGTCCGCTTAGCCTTCGTAAGTTCCAATTCCTCCGTCCGCTTCGCGTTCGTAAGTTCCAATCTCACGTTTCCAGATCAACGGCTCCTTCTCGGATTATTAGGGTTCTGGTAGGAGGTAGTCCCGATCTGTAGGTTTCGTGGATTGAAACATTATATTAGGGTTACTTAAGTTATTGCTCGGGATCGTCTTCTTCTCGGATTATTAGGGTTCCTATCTGGTGGTAGGCGGTGTCAAGTCCTGATCTGTAGGGTTTCGTTGATTGAAACATTATATTAGGGTTACTTCGGTTATTGCTCAGGATCTACTGTAGTTTAATTTGATGTACTTGTCTGGTTAGTTATGGAACTGCAGAAGTTTTGATTTGTATGTATCTATTGAATGATAGGAAGGTGCTGATTATGCTCCAACAAACCAATGAGTTTGCTGATGTATCATTTTTTTTCATGTTCCTCAGATAGCTTAATGGAAGAAACATCTAAAGCTGGTGGTACTGGGAAGTATGCGTTTGCATACAATAATGCTATCTATTCTGATAAGATCCTACGTCTGAAAGTTGATCCCTCCCTGCCTGCTCTGTCAGATTCCAGAAAAAAAGCACGTTTAGGTATGTCATCTCCGCTGTTTCTGGAAATATGTTTCTGTTCAAATATGTTGTTGGTTTGCTGCAGCTACTTATGTTTACGTTTATGTCATTTCAATGCAGAAAATGGTGCCTCGACCTCCTCTCAGCTGACATTGTCTGTCAAGGTTGGCATAATCTATGTAAATTTGATTTTTGCTCTGTGTTTATTTTTAAGTCAAATCTATCCTTTATTGCTGTTGACTATGGTGATAGGCTGATCACTTTGCGATTTCATGTTTCTGCAAACGATATGTACTGTTCAACCGCAAATAATTTTGAATTTGAATTTCTACTTTTTATAATTTAGATGAGGAGTATAATGCACTATTATTTATTCTTGGTTATTATGTGCGCTCTTGCTATGTTAGGTTTATATTTGCTGCTAACTTATGTTGCACCTGACAGGATGGTGTGAAAGATATCCGTGTTAGCTCCATTATCCTAGCTGCCGAAAGTCACTACTTTATCAAGGTATAGGCCATTATCACAGTCATATGATTTCATTTTTGCTCATGTGCTTATTTTCCATCTTGCTTACAGCTTTTGTCTTTTCAGCTTTTTACAAATGGAATGAAAGAGACAGGAAATGAAGTTGTTCTTGTGAACTTACATTCAGAAGGTTATTCAATTTACTAATACTAGGAAACATGCCCGTGCGTTGCTACGGGGTAGAGGGGCAGTGTTTGAAGAGAGGGGTGCATGGAGGACTTTCGTCGAGTGCATTTTCTCGACTTGGAAGCAAATTCTCCAAGAGTTCAGTTACTAATCCAAAGGATTTTTGAAGTAAGGGTGCACAAGATGTTTTTGCCTGACTTCTATATGATATTGTACATTAGACCGTCAATATATAGTGACAATGCATATCTCACCTGTAAATTAATCATTGTGCTGATAATAAAAAATCACAGACACAACACTTACGTTGAGTTACTGATATCACACAATGATAATGTCGTATACTTCGCCTAGCGTCTAAGGATGTTGTGTGTGTGCTAACCATGCAGTCCTAGTCGTATAGATGTATTAACTTCCTGTTCTGTGATGATATATGCATGATTCTTCATCGCAATTGAATCTTTGTTTAGTGTGTTGCGCCTCAATTCACGGTTAGCTATAATTTGCTCTATTCTAGGTTTTTTTGTCCTGGTTGCATATTTGTGTATTTCTACCTTTCCCATGCGCACTTTTTTATCTTCTGTGTTGGCTTAACGTTTGCATATTTCTTCTTCCCTTGTGTGTATTTTAATGTTTGGGATATCGCTTATCGTGAACTTATCGATCGACCCATGATAAGGGGTAAATCGGCTAGTTTATCGACATATCGACCGATTTATCGCTATATCGGCTCATTTATCAGCCGATTTATCTTATCGGCCAGACACCGGTAAGCGATAAACCGGGCGATTTATCGGAATGTCGGAAGATATCTTGAACAGTGATTCTTTTGGCAACTGGGTTGAATCTTTAATTCTTTTGTTTGGTTCATACGCTTCATGATGCTTTTTTTGTTTTTCTTCACTGGTCGTTCATACATACTGCTCTATATTTTTTTCTTTTTTATTCGTTGGGATCCATGACTCGAGATTGTCATCCAAATTGCTTGCCTGCATGAGAGTTTTGTATACTATATGAAGATGATGTTGATTAAATATCGAATATAAAATTTGCATCATAAATAGAGCATATGTAGCTACTTATAAATAAATATAATTATGTTGGACATAAGCATGAGAATGTATGTGCTGTTTCCATGCTAGACTATTGATCAAGTTTTTCCTTGAAGCAATTTAGAAAGCAAAAAATGATACTAAAGTAAGAGCACTTCTATATTCATCATGTTTTTTGTCTGACTACAGTACAACATTATAGAGCGTTTTGTCGATGCCTAGTGACTAAGCATACCACACTGATAGATTAACCATTGCAATGATATCAGAAAATAAAAATATCATATATGCATCTCTTTCAAAGTAATTTTATCTGATTCTTTTTTCTTCATAGCATCAATGTTCGGGTCGAAAGGATGTATAAGCTGGTTGCCTCGTTCCTCCATACCACCTTCAACATAACCATCTTCAGGGACTTCTCTAGAAAACAACTTCTTCAGGGACATCAAGCATGGCATATTCTTCCTGATTTGGAATAACAACTTTATTGAGAACAATTGAAGACTTTGTAGCCATGATATGTAATTGCCTATGTTTTGCGCCTATGTTTTATTATGCACTTGTATAAATCGGAATCAGTGGCTAGAGATAATTTATGTATTTATTTCATTGGACGTCTAGGCATATACTCCCTCCGTCCGAAAATACTTGTCTCGGAAATGGTTGTATCTAGACTTATTTTAGTTATAGATACATCCATTTTATCCATTTATAGGACAAGTATTTCCGGACGGAGGGAGTATGTTTCAGTCGTGTGTGTCCTGATCTATGCAGTCAGTCAAAAACAGAAACAAATGCAAATCTTCAATAAGGAAAAAAAAGTAAAACCAAACCCGGCATGTGTACGTTGATACAGAAAAGTAATCAGATGTGCACGCCCAGAATCGAACGATTTGATGGCTAATTTAGTCCTATTTCGGCGAGTGCTCCCGTGTCCACTCAAGCCTGCTCGGGTGTCCTATATCCAGCTGTAGACAAAGTAGCCATCTCGAGCAGGCGACGCATGTCGTCTGGCCCCACGGCACCGCTATTCTCATCCTCGTCCTCGTCTCAGCCGCTCACCGCTAACCTCCAACCTTATCGTTTCAGCAGTTATCGTCCTCTTCTCTCCCCCATCCCCGATTCCTTTCCTATCTTCTCTCCCCATCTCTCTGAAACTACCACGCAGCACCCTCCCTCCCTCAACGGCCGCTGCTGTTGCTAGCCCCCCTCCCACCGTGCAGCGCAGCGCGATCCAGAGCAGATCGAGGCCACCAACAAGCCTCCGTCCTCCTCCGCTCAGCACCCGATCCACCTCCCGTGTACTCGCGCACGCAGCCCCATAACACTCTCCTTCTCCCTGCTTTCTCCTTCTTCCTCTCAATTCTTTCTTTTCCCCTTCCCAGGTCATGCACGGAGCATGCAGGGAGCCTGGCGGCTGGAGTTCGCCGGCCGTTGGCGCCCTCCTCCCCTACGACCGGCACATCCACCCTCTAGCTCACCTCCTCGCGCTGATGGCCGGCTCGCCACCGGCGAGCAGCACCAACAGCAGGACCGCCGCCGCACCTCACCGCTCTCTTCTCTCTCCCTCTGGCCTTCCATCTCCTTTCTCCCGTCCTCCCTTTTCTCTCCCGCTCATCTCTCACTTCTCTCGCAGGCACCCAACGCATGGCGTGCCTCGCCCCATTCCTGGGCTCGGGCGGCGCATACGCCCGCCGCGACGCATCTCCTGCCTTGGCTTCTGCGGAGTCAGCGCCGGCGGCAAGCGGCGGGGCATTCACGGCGGTTCAGTGGAGGCAGGGTGTTTTTTGCAAAAAACGAAACGTTATCCAGATTTAAGTAGGACCATGGGTTAATTCCTAAGAAACAGGGGGACTTTTTTGCAAAATGACCAATGACGGACGAGCAGAAGCGATCGCTGGTTTATTAGTAGGGAAAGATTGTCTATTATAAATTGGTTTACTTACAGTTGTGTATTGAATTTCAATCTTAATTTTGTTTCCTGCCATCTTTAATATTTTTCAGAGTTGGAGCCTTTTGAGGAAATTATTCATTTCATCTACAAGGACATGTTTTTCAATAAGACTGATCCACAAAGGTTACTTGATATTGTGGTCACTGCTGATAAGTTTGAGGTGATTGGAGCAATCAAGCACTGTAAAACTCTGATGCTGCAGTCCCCGCTGACTCTTGAAATTGCCCTTCTTTATTTGGAGTTCACTTCTGAGAAGGTAGAACTGAATGAAATTCTTGGTCCTGTTCATACTGCTTGTGCTGATTTTGTGGCCAATACATACAAAGATCTGTTAAGGTATTTAACCTCCATATCCGGATCTCTTGATTTAATTAACTGAGATGCTCTCTTATTACTCATGAGATTGGTATTTATCTCTTGTGGCGGGTTCTTAGTTATGACATTTTCATATTTATGTGTTAGGTTAGGTTTGGTAATGTTGGTGTGGAAACACTCTGTTAGTGTTAATTCTTATGCTCTTATTTTTCATTTCAGACTCTGTTGTAGCACCTTTTTAAAAGGTTTCATTGCCATGTTTGTGAACTTAAGGCTCATCGAACATGAATTGTTAGATGTTCTTATGATATGTTTTGTAGCCTTGGGCCTCCTGTCATCAAACATCTTTGTGGCATTTACAGATTCTTGTCAGGTTCAACTCGGGTTCAGTAGATAATATTTGATGTGAATAGCGTTTATCTGTGATCCACATAGAAATTTTATACAAAAAGCTTGAGAAAATGAATGTAAGGATAGTTAGTTTTATTCAGATATATTTGATCTGAAGCTATACTTGTGGTAAATAAGATGATGTAATCTCTTTGGTACGGAGGGAGTATTATGGGACGGAGGGTGTGTTATTACTTTGTTCTCAATCTTTGTATCTTTGTTCTGTATTGGGTGAGGTTTTGTAAGATCAAATGAGTGTTCCACATTCTTTTTTTTATATAAAGTAATACTCCCTCCATTTATCTGTATACCCTGTGCTCCATTTTTAGTTTATTGTTTGAAATCATTAGCTGCTAACAATTTGGTATAACCAGGCTTAGATTAGAAAGTCAACAAACATTACATGATAGTAACAGTATGAGCATTGGTTGCCTTTTCTTTGTTGTTTCTTCTTCATGCTTAGTGATTTCTTGTATTTGCACACATTACCTCTGATCTTTATCAGTAGCCATTAGTTCTGATCTTTCTCTTGGTTTTCAGTCATGAGGAAGCCGTGCTCCAGTTGCGGCTCTCCGCTATGATTTCCATCTTTAAGAGCAGTGCTCTTATTCTTCCCAACGAAGACTATGCATTTACCTTTTTGCTGAAATGGCTGGAGAAAGAGTACTCTGATAAGGAAGAGAGAAAGGATGTGTTTCAGAGAATCGTGGTTTCTCTTATCCGGTTCACGCACCTGTCTGAAGAAGCTCTGCTTGATTTTACCTCTTGTAATCTAGTTTCGAGTCCTGTTGACGCGATCAATATTGTATCTAATGCAATGCATTTCAAGGCTACTTCATCTCGAAGAATTGCTTACTGGAGGTATGAGCAGCGTGATTATCTTGTGAGGCCCGTCTCATTATCTTATCTTATGCCAGCTCCACATCCTGAGGTTGTGGCATACATGGATATATCACTGGGTCGCTGCTCTAGGATGACTTCTCCTGGGAAAACAAATGCTTACTCTGAAGCTTTTGCCTTTGGTGGATTGACCCTAAACATGGTCGCTACGTGTTTGACGCTGATACTAATACTCCCAATTCACTTGGTTTGTTTTTATGTGCCCAAACCGAGCAGCCAGCCATCCTGAGTGTCACATTCTCTGTGAGGACACACGACCAAATGGGGCGTATGTTGACTGTATCTCGTTTGAACACACATTTACAACAGGCATCCCCTTTGGAGTAAATGATCTGTATCTGACCCAATGGGATGAATTGATGGACCCCAACTGTATTTTTGTCATTAAAGGCCATTTGCACATTAGAATGCGCATTTCTGCTCTCCAGCCATAGGGTTCAGGTATTGCTTTAGGCTAATCCCATTTTGCTGTATTGTTAATCATTTGAAGATAAAGCTCAAGTATGCTCGTTCTTCAGGTAAGGAGGTCTCCAGCATCAGTCTTCAGGCCAAGTAGCTCGTCCATGTTTTAGCGTGTCCTTCAGACCTGACCTGTGGTAATCTGTCTGTGATTCTGATGACTGTTAAGTCTGGAAGCCAAGGAGCTTTGCATATCATGTTGTTTAGCCTGCCCTTCAGACCTGACCTGTGGTAATCTGTCTGTGATTCTGATGAGTTAAGTTTGGAAGTTTTAGCCTGTCCTTCAGACCTGACCTGTGGTAATCTGTCTTGCAAGGAGCTGGTCTTGCATATCATGTTGTTTAGCCTGTCCTTCAGACCTGACCTGTGGTAATCTGTCTGTGATTCTGATGAGTTAAGTTTGGAAGTTTTAGAACTTTCTATGCTAAGTATGGTCAGTAGTATGATGAACAGAGCACTAGATGCCCTAATCTACTCCTATGCTAAGTGTCTTCAAGATCATGTTTTTTTGGATATGTTATTCGTGTACCCATAGCATCCTTAACATTGTGCGACGAAGTAGTAATAAAACAGGAGAACGACCTCTGTAGGAGAAAGGTGGGGTGGGGAGAATGGATTTGTGAAAGGAGGGGTTGAAAACCATAGAAGAATCCCACTTAAATGTATGGAATTTAGGTAATTAAGTACTACGGTTGTTTGCATGCTAACCAAAAATGTCTAATCGTCTACATTTAAACTGGTCAGATGAACAAACTCCAAAATGAACACGATGATATTTCTTGGATATCAACATAGTCACTGTTATAGATTTGGCAGCCAAGGACATAAATTTGAAGAACTGAGGCTAGCCAAGGAGAATACCTCACTAGAATTTGTTCCGGCAGGCCACATAGGAATTTGTTCCAGCATAGAAATTTGTAGAACTGAGGCTCAGGCAAGGAGTAGAATAATGCTACTTGAGGATTCAGATTTTATACAATGGCCACTTGAGGATGGCATCCAAAACTAGGATAAGATGACCGGGAACGCTGATAGCAGGATTGTACGCCTAGGAGTCGGCATCACTGCTTGAAGCCCTGCAAACAAAGATCTATTCAGTAACCTGCAGCATTTCAAACAACCACAACAGTGAACCACGTCAAGGTTTGGTTTAACTCACATTATCATGCCCACGAGGATCCCTAATTTGCTCTGACACCTCCCTCATTTGTTTAACTGTCGAGTGAGAAGCAAAAATTACCAGTTTAATGTTAGCGCAAATAAGGCATTAAAATCAGACCCACATATTCAAATAATGTGTAACTGGTGATGCCACAACAAAGAAATATAAGAGCGTTTAAATGAAACACAAACGACGCGTTTGGTTCGGCAATTTTCGACCGTCTTCCGATTACACCGCTTAGCGAATACGTTACCAGCGTTTGGTACGGGCTGGGCTGGTTTCAATCGCTGCGTAATCCGATACACCGCTTCATAAAGCCCAAAACGGGATGTACCCCGCGGAAACCGAAAACGCTCGATCGAAGCCCTCCTCCGCTCGTCAGTCTCGCCTCCACCAGGACTCTCTCTCTCTCTCTCTCTCTCTTCGGCAGCCTGGTTTTCCCCTTCTCTACCGCGAGCAGCGACGCCGTCTGGACCCCCTCCCCCCTTCCCTGCCACGAGCAGTGACGCCACCTCCCCCCTTCCCCCCACGAG